CACCTATCTCTTCTCTCATTTTCCTCCTCTCCCTTCCTGCTATCAGCAGATTGTGTCTTTCTTTCCTCCTCCTCCTCCTACTTTCCCTCGTATGTCTGGACGCTCATCCCAGTCTTCAATTCTTTACCCTTCTACTTCCTCCTCCTTCTTCCCTTACTTTTCTTTCTTACTCCCCCTACCCTCCCTCTTTCTCCTTCCTCCTCCTCCTCTTCTCCGCCTGCTCCTCATACATCAGGTAGCTCCCCCCCCCACCACCACAACAGAAGAAGAGGCGGCGGCCACTTTTTAGCGCGCGTGTTGCACTCAGGTTACGACAATTTAAGAGTTCACCAAGTAACGGAGCGATTCATCCCCCAACCATTACCTGCTGCTGGTGGTGGCCGGGGCAGTGACAGGTCCTCAAGGGCAGCAGTGGCGGGTCTTCAAGGGCAGCAGTGGTGGGTCTACAAGAGCGCAGTGGCGGGTCTACAAGGGCAGCAGTGGCGGGTCTACAAGGGCAGCAGTGGTGGGTCTTCAAGGGCAGCAGTGGCGGGTCCTCAAGGGCAGCGTGGCGGGTCCTCAAGGGCAGCAGTGGCGGGGTCTTCAAGGGCAGCAGTGGCGGGTCTCAAGGGCAGCAGTGGCGGGTCTTCAAGGGCAGCAGTGGCGGGTCCTCTAAGGGCAGCAGTGGCGGGTCCTCAAGGGCAGCAGTGGCGGGTCTTCAAGGGCAGCAGTGGCGGGTCTTCAAGGCAGCAGTGGCGGGTCTTCAAGGGCAGCAGTGGCGGGTCCTCAAGGGCAGCAGTGGCGGGTCCTCAAGGGCAGCAGTGACGGGTCTTCAAGGGCAGCAGTGATGGGTCCTCAAGCACAGCAGTGGTGGGTTCTCAGGGCAGCAGTGACGGGTCTACAAGGGCAGCAGTGACGGGTCTACAAGGGTAACAGTGATAGGTCCTCCTTGACAGCTATTTCTTACATAAATCAGGACATCTTTCGCCAACGGGTGATTTATGAGGTTTTCGCGTAATATGGAGTAAAGTTCTCAAAATTAGGAGTGTTAGTGTCTCCAATATCTCTAGGGTTGATCTTCCTCTATTTTCTCTTGCTTCTCTTTCTCTTTTCCCAAAATTGGTTACACTAATACCTAGATTAAGCTTTGTTTCTGAATTAATTCCTAACATGTACGGATTTCATCAACACGTACACCTAAAACGCACATAAACATCCCAACACGTATCTAAACCGTACATACAGTACATATCCCTCAACACCTACATAAACATCATCATTGCAACATAAACGTACACAAACATCCACAAAACGTACAAGCACATCACCAAACCACACAAACGTACATAACATCAACACCACGTAAACATACTACATCTCAACATCAAAAAACATCCAAGAAATTTAAATAATGTTAAAATCACCGAAGTATACTAGATATCTTCACCATCTACTTCTACTGGGTAAGTCTCATCTACTGAGCATTATATACATTCATCTACGACATACTAATCTTAGCTAATCTAACCTAACCTAATTTAATCTAACATAACTAACCTAACCTAATTTAACCTGATCTAATCTATACCTGACCTAATCTAGCCTAACCTTATCTAACCTAACGTAACCAAGTACATATACCCCTAATATGGCTATACTTCATCTACCGAACACATCTGATATACTGAGCACTATAAAGTTCAATAACATTACTTCGTCTACTTTATCTACCTCCACTACACCAATCTACTGAGTATTATACAAACCAACCAATCAATACTACCCATCAGCATCTACCGCCTCTTAATCACACCTCACAAGCATCATTCAACAGTACTGGAGTATAAGACCCAGCGGTACCGTTTAATCTCACACAAGGTATCATTGGTCACTTTACACAACACAGCAAAAAAAATGAAAACAACTGGTGGAGCGGTTGGTCTCCGTGGCCCTGAGGGGGAATGGCTAACCAGGTCTTCGTGGACGTGTGAACCCGTATGTAAAGTAAACGTCCATAAGTGCGTCTTGGTTTATCTTTATCTTATTGTATTTATTCATTTTTCTTTTTTACTTATTTTATTCTGAAGTTTTTTTAATTTCTTTTTTTTTTATTTTCCTTTTTCAAGTTGTCCTTTTTTTTCATCTTATTCTATAACTTCGATTTTTTTTTGGGGGGGGCATTTTATTTTCAAATTGTGACTTTTCATCTATTTTTTTACATAATACATTTTGTTTAATTGCGTCTCTTTTACAGTTTATTTTTAACGTACATATATTTTTTTTTACATCTTAATTTTAATATTGTAAACACCACTCGCATGGAATATTTTTAATGGATATTTTGTTTAAGTCATATATCCACCATTAAAAACCAGGCGTAAACAAGAACAAACACTAGATTATAAAACACTGTAAACAATCAGATTTACCGATAAGCAACGAAGAAAAAAGTCCATTTAAACAATACTACTTTTGTTTATATTTCCATAACTATAAACAGCTGTAAACTCTCACACATGGACTCTTGCTCAAGAAGACTGGTCAAACAAGATGATCGCTCCTGCAAACAACCTTCAGGTCTCGTCAGAGTGATTAAACCCTAAACCCCAGCAGACACTCTGGTTGTATGAGGTCTTATTAAACCAGACAGAAGCTTGCAAGAACTTTAGTCTGTGGTCTTATGTGGTTTAGTGAGGGAGGGTGGTGGTGAGGGTGGGTGGTTGTGGGGTGAGGGAGAGTGGTTGTGGGGTGAGGAGGGTGGTGGTGAGGGTGGGTGGTTGTGGGGTGAGGAGAGTGGTTCTGGGGTAAGGGGTGGTGGTGGTTAGGGAGGTGGTGGTCGGGTGAGGGAGGGAGTGTGGTGGTGGTAGTGCGGGAGGGTGGTAGTTTGTTGGGGGTTAAGAATGGTGGTAAAGTAGTAGTGGTGAGGGAGGGTGGTAGTGTAGTGGTGGTGAGAGAGTGTGGTGGTGGTGAGGGAGGTTGGTGGTGGTGAGGAAGTTTGGTGGTGGTGAGGGAGAGTGGCAGGGTGTGGTGGTGGTGAGAGAGTGTGGTGGTGGTGGTGGTGAGGGAGTTTGGTGGTGGTGAGGGAGTTTGGTGGTGGTGAGGAGTTTGGTGAAAGTGAGGGTGTGAGTGTGGTGGTGGTGAGGGAGTATGGTGGTGGTGGTAGGGAGTGTGGTGGTGGTGGTGGTGAGAGGTGTGGTAGTGGTGAGGGTGGTGGTGGTGGTGAGAGTGTGTGGTGGTGGTGAGGGAGTGTGGTGGTGAGAGTGTGTGGTGGTGGTGAGGGAGTTTGGTGATGGTGAGGGAGTGTGGTATTGTGGTGGTGGTGGTGATGGAGTGTGGTGGTGGTGGTGATGGGTGTGGTGGTGGTGGTAAGGGGGTGTGGTGGTGGTAAGGGAGTGTGGTGGTGGTGAGGGAGTGTGGTGGTAGTAAGGGAGCGTGGTGGTGGTAGGGGAGTGTGGTAGTGGTGAGGGTGTGGTAGTGTGGTGGTGGTGGTGAGGGAGTGTGGTAGTGGTGGTGGTGGTGGTGAGGGAGTGTGGGGAGGTGTGGGTGGTGATGAGGGTGTGGTAGTGGTGAGGCGTGATAGTGTAGTGGTGGTGAGGTGTGGTGGTGGTGATGAGGAGTGTGGTGGTGGTGGTGATGAGGGGTGTGGTAGTGGTGAGGGAGCGTGATGTGGTGGTGGTGGTGAGGGAGTGTGGTGGTGGTGAGGGTGTGGTGGTGGTGAGGGAGGTGTGGTGGTGGTGAGGGATGTGGTGGTGGTGAGGAGTGTGGTAGTGGTGAGGGAGCGTGATAGTGTAGTGGTGGTGAGGGAGTGTGGTGGTGGTGAGGGAGTGTGGTGGTGAGGGGGTGTGGTAGTGGTGAGGTGTGGTGGTGATGAGGGAGTGTGGTGGTGGTGAGGAGTGTGGTGGTGGTGAGGGAGTGTGGTGGTGATGAGGGAGTGTGGTAGTGGTGGTGGTGAGGGTATGTGGTAGTGTGGTGGTAGATGCCATCTTCATGACGATACAGCCGTAACCGCCCGGGGAGTGACAGTACCCACAATACTCAACAGCTGTGAATAAGACCGTCGACTCACCCACACAGACGCACACGGGAGACGATTCCGCACATAGACACACGCACACACAAGCATACTCACACACCACACACGGCCACTAAGACGCAAACACGCGTCCAATCGTATCCTCACTTGCTTCAACCTGCTGATGACCCACAAGTCCCCCCACCCTAGTACAGTAACGTTTGACCCGCCCCGGATCTTGTCCTGTGCGTGTTGTGCACAAGAGTGTACTTGAGTGTGCACGTATTTGTATTCTTGTGTTTATACTTATGCTTGTTCTATTTCACTTCCATGCACATTAAATGATCGGGAGGCAAGTGAATAATGAAAGAAAGGCACTTCAAGTGTAGCCGCGGAGCACAGCCAGAGAACCTTGTATGTGGACAACCTCTGCCCACACACGATCTGGCTGGCTCACTGTCCGACCCCCACCCCGGTCTCCTTCCTCCCCCTCCCATTCCCTCCCTCACCAGCCTTTACTTACACACGTATATATACAAACAGTGAAAACGTTAACAGTAAACAGCTGGTTATTGAAAAAAAAAGAAGATAAATTAGTCATTATTGTTCAAAGGTTCGACAGTTACTTATATTGGGGACAAATTACAATAACTTTTGAAGACAATATTCAGACTTTCTTGTGGTGTGTGTTTCTCAACCAGTGACCTTCACCTCTTATAAACACTCTGCTCCCTTAGTTTCTGCCCGGCCAATACCTCCTGAAGTACTTACTCTGTACAGGTAAACTGAAACCGTACATTTAACCAGGTATTTACGGTATACATCACTATAAACAGGAGGGGAGATAGGTGTTGCCGTGGTGGGGAATGAGTATGTATGTATGTATGTATGTATGTATGTATGTATGTATGTATGTGTGTGTGTGTGTGTGTGTTCCCTGACGAAGGTGGGGAAACAAAATCCATCGGCAGGGTTCGCCTTTAACCCTCCCGTGTTTCTCTGCACTTACCATTGTGCTGGAGTTGAACGTGCGCCAGCCATCTAATAAGACCCAGGTAACAGAGGTGTCAGCGCAGCAGGATGTACCAACTGCTTCGTCCAGGGATGGTGTGTCCTAGTAGAGAGTTTTCGGTCCTCCCCCACAGTACACAACTACATACAAAGGTTTCTGATATCCTGTAGCACCACGCATCACGTCTGCCAATTCATTGCAAAAGGATAATTCTTCTCTACACTCTCTCTTTGGATATCGCCCAGATTTTAATTCTCCATTTCTCTAGAGACTAGGGAGGGAGGAGTTATTTCTCGTTTAGGGCGTCGAGGTACGAGTAAACACGTGTGCACTTGTGACCACCACACTGAGCGCGACTCCCAAACACCCCGCCTTCCGAAAGAACACTGAAGGCCGGACGTGTGGGCAACCCGTCCCGAGCTTTGGTTGCCAGTTACTTGTCTTAAGGAAGCTATTTCTCTAGATTTAATTCAACATTGGATGAAGCGTCAACTGCGTCTTTGGGTATTAGGTGGCGTAAGCAAGTAACTGATGTTGACAGAGTAATCATAGCCTGGATACTGATGGCGGGATAAAAGTAAATAAACAAAACCTGACACCTGGGCAGATCAGCTGACTGGGGCCTGGGTAAAGACCCCAAGTGAAGTAGGAAGCCATGTGCCCCGCCACCACCACGCACACACACTCACACACACACACATACATACACACACGAACTTGTTCCAATATTTCGACGTACTTACATGCTCATGAAGATCACTCGAGCCGTGCCAGGTGGAGTGTGATGAAGGTTACAACTGGCTGATCCAACCCCCACAGTATCACGCACGCCGTTCCTCTGTTCACCCCTGGAGCCACGCCATAAAAAGCCATCCGTCCACTCACTGACCATGTTAGTTTTGAGCAACTCTCCACATTTCGTTTTCAGTAATTTGATCCTGAGGACAAACTAGCTGGGGGTTTTATACACCGCTCGTGGGAGAGTTTGTTAGTTAATCATCGTGTGGCAGAAGAATGGAATGACTCTCTCTCTCTATCTCCTTACTACCCCGTGCATCTCTTTCTGCCCTATATATTTCTTTCCCTCACATCCCTCTTTAATCGTTCACTCCCTCCTCCTCCTCATCCTACTCTCCCTACTCCTTTCTCCACCTCTGCTATTTAACACTCATCGCCCACCCCGTGCCCACCTCCTCACTGGCCTCCCACTGTGCTATCTATCATCTGATCACCCCTCCCCCCGCCCTCCCTGTACCCTTCCTTTCCTCCTTCCCTCCCTTACCCTACCGTAATCCCTCCTTTTACCCTCCTATCCTCCCCTCCCCACTTCCCTAAATCACCATCACCAGATTTCCTCCCTCCCTTATAATAATCTCCCTAACTACCAAACTACCCTTTTCCCTCCCCACACACACACTACCTCTCCGCAGCTTTCTTACCCATCAGACTTCTCCCTTCCCTTCCCCCCTCTTTCCATTTCTCCTCTCTCATCCCTCCCACCCCCTTACTATATCTGCCAGTCACCCTCCCTCTCCCTCTCCTCTCTCATCGTCACACACGTCTTTCTAAATTCCTCGTTTCTCCCTCTTCCTCACATCCATCCCCCTCCCGCTATCCTTCCCTCTCTTTCTTTTCCTCCACAACCCCTCCATCCCTTCCCTCCTCCACCTCTCTCCCTGGTCATTCCTCCTTTTCCCTCCACACCTCCCCTTCTTACTCCCTTCTCCTCCCCCTCCCCTTCCACGCCCTCCCTCCTCCCTTCACGCCACGACCTACGCCTGCGCACCCTTCAGGTCACGACAGAGTTGACTTACGACTGGAATTAGGAGAAGGTAATGTGTTGTGCCTAAGACCTGACACACTCCCGGGTCCCTCCAGGCTCCTCCAGGTCACCGCCCGCCACCGTTTAGGCCGCACTGTTGTCGTTCTGGCGTTTATAGATTTTCTTTATTCTCTTCCATGACGTTTATAGTTTGTTACAGTTTATTTATTTAGAAAAACACAGATACAGAGTGGATAATAATAACAATATTAACATGGCTGAGCCAGTTGAGAACCTGAGCTTCCCTGTAGGCACTCGTTCAGTTTTTAGAACGTATTTCTTATCTTACGCAGACGCTCTGTAGTGTGTGTGTGTGTGTGTGTGTGTGTGTGTGTACATAAATGCGCACACAAACGTAAACATACGTACACACGAATGTACACCCAAAACACACATGCGTCTCGTGTAATGGCAAATCCACCTCCTGTCACTCACCTGTTTATCTCATGCCCACACGCCCACAAAACCATGCCTACTAACGCCATAATCCATATTAGCCACTACACGCCCTCACCCACACGCCCAGTCCACACTCCCGTTACCCTCGGAGGCGTAGTTAATAAACACACGCCCATATCCACATATCCACACCAGTTACTGTGGGGGAAGGATGGAAGACCTTCACTAGACATCGTTTGCTCATGCACCTTTCGCCAATATCCACAGAACCAAGACCATCGCCCGTCAATCACCTGTCCACCCCACGCCCATACCCACGCCCATACGCCTGCTACTGTCGTGGGCTTCATCCTCTGCTTACTGACAGGAATCCATGGGGTAGTGATATAGAGAGGCAAGTGTGCTATGGCCTCTCTAAACCGTAAACAATTGAGAGAGAGAGAGAGAGAGAGAGAGAGAGAGAGAGAGAGAGATACACAGTTCCGGCGTTGTGTTTTAGTTGTGAAATCGAATTTAGCGTTGACCTGAGAGAGATTGAGAGATGCTATGAATGTACTTCCCTAAACACCTCTGGATCCTCTTCCCTAACGCTGAAGCTACCACAAACATCTTGATTGCCTCTGCCCTGAATTTCCCCCTATAAAAATATATAATTACGTTCTTAAACGTACCAGAAATTTACTACGAGACCACTGAATTCCCCGACATAGGCCTGAACTCCCTTGCACAGGCCTGAACCCCACCTTAATCCCTTCGGATCCTGTAGAAAAGCCCAAGACTACACCAAAATAACGCGCTTAGATCCCCAGTAAAATTCTTGAGTGCTGTAACAAATACTATGAATTTTCATAAAACATTGCCTGCGTCTTTTATAAATACCAGGAATTTCTTACGAGCCCGCTAGATTCTCTTTACACAGTTTCAAACCTCCTTTAATCCCCTTGGATCACGTACAGCTGGCCTCAAGTCTCGCCCGACATAACGCGCTTGGATCCTGCTAAACAGAGTTGGGCGATGTTCACAACGGAGATATCTTCTTCCGCCGCCAGATACCATTACCTATCAAGACGTTAATGAGGTAGAGAAATAAAAGTAACGCATCTAGAGAGTGATAAAATTATTGATTGAATTAATGTATATGTGATGATGATGGGAGAGCAGACACAAGACGAAATGGTGGTAGATAAAGAAACATTATTAAACAATCGGTCGGATATCATTAAAACGTAGTACTGTATATAGACAAATGAGAGAGAAGGGGGGAGAGAGAGAGCCCTCTGGCGAGTTGTGTGTACTAGGTGTCCTGTAGCACGTCTCCGGGAGGGGTGCTACAAGGTAAAAGTGCTGTAGGAATCCGGGAGGTAGTGTGTAGCTGCAGGTCCATGGAGGAGGTGGTGCTGCTGCCTCACTCTCACACAGTTTTATGGTCCAGCCTGTTCGTACCCGCTGATGACCTACCGTGAAAAACAAAAATAACAAAACGAGAGTGCCCAATTTACAAGGTCGATTAGAAGGCCATTTACAGAAGACAATAAGTACTAAGCTTGGTGGTATCCAGGGTGAAGGACTGAGTCCCTCCCTGTTTTCCTGGTATGGACTGTATGTACCGAGGGACTCTCTCAATGCAGGGGTAATGGTGGGTTCACCGTATGGCAACACCTTTGATTTATTTACCGTGCGAGCTATAATTTATATCAGAGTGACCTGCTCGGCCCTTAACACTTAAAAACTACAGGTCGCCTCTACATCGCTCGCCCCTGTACAGCTGGGTCTCCAGCTGCCCTCTACTCCCCTGGATGTCTCCTGAGGTACAATCATGTAACATTTGTTCAAAGGAGTCCCAAAATATACCAGGCTAGGTGCACCGCCGCGTTAGCCACCGTCGTAAGGAATCGTTAAGTGACGTCAGTGTCCACAAAACGACGATATTCCAGGACTTAATCACTAAAAAAAACTCCTGTTACACTCTGGACGGGAAGGTCCATTGGTGGCCACCGGCCCAGATGTCTCCATTTACTGCCAAGGTCCTGACCACCGCCACCACCAGAAAAGGAATTTACATTTAAGTGCTTAATAATTGTGTTTGTATTATGCATAAGACTATTTCTATTTTCTCTGTAATATAATAATGAAGTAAATACCAAAATTACGCCCAGTGTAAAGTTTTTTCAGTGTTGCGACTAGAAGAGCATTCAAGACATCGTTTACATCTCACACATTAAGATCTAGAATAATGGAAGATTGTTCTAATGCGGTAAACGCTTAGCTATGCCTGGCAGGTCAATGGGGTCTGTCTAATGCTCCTGTCCGGAGTTCTCGAATACCTGAACAGACAGACGGGGAAGGGATGGGCGGACGAACCTGTGGACAGATTAAGGTGCAGACAAGGGTCATTGTATTGCACCCAAGAATACAGAGGAATAATCACTCTCGGTCTGTGATAGCAAGTTCATGGCAATATCAATGGCATCAATGACATCATAACAACCCCAAAGTCCAATATAATCAGAACATCGTGTTACCATACTCAGTGACTTCAGAAGACATCTTGACGGGGTAACAAATGCACTGAGGAAAAGTAAATAGTTGATGTGAGATACACATATATAACAAGGGACTCAGACGGGTATGTATAACCAATGATATGAAGTATAATTATATAAAAAAAATCACGATGAAATGAAAAAGTTTTCACCTATCCCGGCAGCGGTGGTTGAGTGGATACTGCACCCCTGACCTAATAGTGAAGGGTTCGAATCTTGTAACCGGCTAGTGAGTGGCGCACCTCCAGTCGACCCAGTTGCAGAATGGGTTGACTGACATTACAGTTAGGAAAGCTAAAAGCAATAGACTGTAGCACCGGTTACACAGTCTACTGCAGGTGTACCAAGGGCTTACGTCTTCAGTGCACTGTATCCGCCATGCCTCTAACGGGTCGTCATGCCTGTAGGACCCACTCTCACTTTCAGCCGAGTGAGAGAGAGATGAAGGCAGACGAACGAGAGAGAAGAGAGAGAACAAAAGAGAGGTAGAGAGGAGAATAATACACCAGAGAAGGAAGAAGAGTACAAAGAAACTCTTCAAAGATGGAAATGACAATACACAATATTTAAGACTTACAAGTAAATTCAAAGACAACAGCCTGACAC